AAAATCCTGCAAGAAGTCAGCAGGATGAATATCATTACAGTCCTTGCCCTCAGGATAGCAGATTTCACCTTATTCAGGACCTACTTGGTAGTATCCCAAAGGGAGCTGCCCTGGAAAGCAAAAGGACCCAGGAGAGCTGGTTGTTCTTCAAGGACAGCTTCCTCAAAGCACAAGAACAGTTCATTTCAATGTGCAGAATGTAGAGCCAGCATGGAAGAAAGCCAGCATGGGTGAACAGGGACCTCCTGACAGAGCTCCAGTATAAAAAAGAATTACACAGGAGGAGGAAGTAAGTAAGAGGAATACAGGGACATTGTCCAGTTGCGCAGGAATGAAATAAGAAAAGCCAAAGCTCAACTGGAATTGAAGCCAGTGAGGGATGTGAAGGGCAAGAAGGGCTTCTGGAACTACAATGGCAGCAAAAGGAAAGCTAAGGAAAATTGTGGAGCCACTGCTCATAGGGACAGGCAAGCTAATAACTGAGGACATGGAATATGCTGAGGTACTCAACTTTTCTGACTGTTTTTCACTGGCAAGTTTCCCTCCTAAGTTCCTGGGAGCAGAGGGAGAGACCCTGGCAGAGTTTGCAGAAGTGAAGTGCTATCCACAGTCAAGGAGCTAGAGCTAGGGCACACTTAAGCCAGGTGGATACAGAGAAGTCCACAAGAAAGATGAGATGTACCCAAGAGTGCTGAGGGAGGTAGGCTGCTAGCATTGTGAGGTCCCTCTCTACCATCTTCACGGCAACCAAGGGAAGCTCCTGATGACTGGAAAAAGGGAAATGTCACAGCCATCTTCAAGACAGTGAAGGAGGATGATTCAGGGAAACTACAGGCTGGTTGGCCTCACCTTACATCTTGGGGAGGTTATGGAAAAAAATCCTCAGAGGAAGCCATTGCCAGGCACACAAAGGAGAGGAAGGTGACTGGGAGTAGCCAGCTTGGATCTAGCAAGGGCAAATCGCACCTGACAGACCTGGTAGCTTTTTACAATGGGGTCAATGAATTGGCATCAGTGGTATATAGTCCAGCTAGTGGCTTAGCACTAGAGGCAGTCCTCAGTGAACCATACTGGGCTGATGCAGTTTATCATATTTACTAGCGACCTGGACCTGGGGCAAGAGATCACATTTGGCAAGTTTGCAGATACAAACTGGGGGAAGTTGTAAATATTCTGTGGGGCATAGCTGCTATTCAGAGGCACACTGACAGGCTGGAAAAATGGGCTAACACAAAGTGCAGCAAGTGCAAATGCAAAGTCCTGCATCTGGGATAGAATAACTCTATGCAATAGGACAGGCTAGGGGTTGACCGGCTAGAATGTAACTTTGTAGAACAGGGCCTTGATTCCTGGTGGAAAACAATTTGAACGTTAGTCAGCAATGTGAAATAAGTTCAATAGCATTTCAGGCCGTATTAACAAGAAATGTTGTCCAGCAGGATAAGGGAGGTGATTCTCCTTTGTTCAGCACTTGAGAAACCCCCATCTGGAGCACTATGTCCGGTTTTTGGATCCCCAGTACTAGAAAAGCACTGACAAAACCACAGCAAGTCCAGCGGAGGGTCACCAGAAAGGTTAAGGGAATGAAGGGAATGAATGCTATATGAGGAGCAGATGACAGAACTGGCTTTGCTCAGCCTTAACAAGTGAAGACTAATTGGAGATTGTATTGCTGCCTTCCATTACATAATGGGAGGGCAGAGAGAAGATGGAGCCACTACTCTAAGGTGCACAGCAACAGGACAGGAGGCAACGGACACAAGTTGGAACACAGAAGATTCCAATTAAGCAGGAAGATTTTCACTGTTGAGGTTGGTTAAGTATTGGTCTACCCAAGAAGTAGTTGTGGTGTATCCATCCTTGGAGATGCACAGAAGTAAACTGCCAAGGTCCCTGAGCCATCTGATGTAACTAGACCTGCTTTGAGTAGGGGGTTGGAATAAAGACCATCAGAGGGTTGAATTGAAATTACTATGCAATTCCATCACCTTCCCTGTTGCTCTTTCATGTACCTTTTTCAGTCCTGTGACATAATCTTTGATATGGGGAGGGGGAAGGAAACAGAATTATACAAAACATTTAAGAGCTTGGTGTCCCATAGTGAAGTTTTCCTCAATTTGTTAATTTATTCCCAGCATTCTTTATTTGCTTTCTTCAACTGCTACTGCATCAATGTTTTCACAAAACTACTTACTATAATCCTGGAAAATCGTTCCTGAGTGGTAAGTCAGTTTTATCTTCCTATCAAGTTATGAACATTTTCATACTCATCTGTACCACTTCATAGTTAACGACAGTGAGTTTCATCTGCCATTTTTATACCCCAGTCAGTCATTCAGCATTGTAGGATTCTTCTACAGCTCTTCATAGTATCATCAGCAAACTGCCACCTCGCTAGTCACCCTTCATTTTAGATAAATTATTAATTCTGTTACACAGCACAGTCTCTGGAACAGATCACTGTAGATTTACTTTCCATTCTTCAAATGATTATTTCCTCAATGGGAACTTTCCATCTTATCCAAAGACAGTTCAGTTTCCAAAAGTTCTTGGTAAGAAATCATTTGTGTTTGGATATCCAAAAGAATTCAAATACATCAATAAGGTCTTCCTTGTCATGTGCTTGTTTACTTACCCAAAGAGCTCCACAGTTTTCTAATGCATGATCTTCCATTACAAAAATCTTAAGTGCCAACATAGCTATTATATTTACTAATTCTACTTGAGAAAAAGATTCTATTAATCTGCTCATTTGAAGAAAGTCTTCTAGTACCATTCTTTACATCGTTGTTTAGCCACGCTGGTTTTCATTTGGGCTTTTTGAAAACCATACTTTTTAATTGAGCAGCTTGCACCTGTGCCTCCAATAGCATCTTCAAATGACCTCCATATTGTCTCCACAGATTTAATCCTCACAGACTCTTTCCAAAAGTTAATCTTTATCTTCTAAGACAACCCTACCTGTCTTCTCATACAATTGTTTCCTGCCCCTGCAACCTCTCTGCTATGATCTTTGTTATTGAAAGATTGAAATAGGTGAAAGGACTGCAAAATTTTTGTATTAATACCATGTTAAATTTAGTACAAAATGGGTCCCCAAAATATTTGCTTGAAATATTTCACACAGAAGGTACTATTCAGAAAAATTTAAATTCCCTTCTCTGCAACTCAATGGGCAAGCTTTATGAAGCTTAGAACGCAGAAATTAGCAGGTGACTGCAGGTTAAGGACAAAACATACTTCACAGTGGCCAGTGTTCATTTCACGAACAGTCTCAGTTACAGCCATGCAACTGTAAAAGTCAAACTGTTATAGCCAATAAATAGAACAACTAGTCAAGAGAATTTGTCCCGTCACCAAAACTGAAAATCTGAAAAGATATTGCTGCATACAATCATTTTAGACTTCTGCAAACTGTAGTCCAATATTTAATATTCACTTTGGTCTTTTTGCTTCAGAGCAAAAACTCCTCTATGACCACAGTGTGTTTTCTCATCAGGCAAGATGAAAAAAGCAACCCTGATATCCTAATTTCATTCATCTCCAATGAAAGAACCCTTAAACTGCGGTAAGAACAAGGATCATCAATTTATTTGTAATGTACATTTTATAAAAGGGACTCGTAACACACTACAATTTTGACACAAGTATACACAATGTTCTTTCTTCCTGCCACCCCCCACCTCCAAATAGTTTCTGGAAGACTTTAATTGCACAACAATGGTATCACTTTTGCAATCTCAGTGCAACACCTAACACGTAAATAAGATCCTTAGAAGAAACTATGGAACCTACCTTTTCTCTGTTTTAACTGGCATAAATTTAAAGGTAAACACCAGAAAAGAAGGGAGAGTCTGAAACATGGCTGAAGACACATATTCTTATCTCCCCTTCTCTAGTTGTTTAGAGACTTAAGACTCAGAATGCCATCACACTTTAGTGAAAGACACAGTTTCATCATTAGTGAAACAAGAGTTGAGAAACTATGGTTAACTAACTTCCCAGAGACTGAAAAACACCTGAGTCTTGTTTAATCAATGGAATTCCTACCCAGATAAGCATGTTTAAACATTTGGGTTAGCCTGGTCATTAGTTCATAAAAAGCTATACAATGCGGGGGAGGGGGGAGAAAGACAAAAGAAAAAAAACCCAAGATCATTTGAAACAACAGCTTTCTTAATTACAGATAAAAGAGCAGTGTCAACTTATCTGTAAATTTTTAATCTGTTTTTTTTTCAGAAGTGCAGTAGTATGACAATGAGTGCCCTATGTAAAAAAAAAAAGCTTACAAAACTATATGAGAGTAATAGACTATAGAGGACATCCATTCAGTCTAATATAAAAAAATCTTCTGCTAACTACATGAGGAGACTAAAGGACCAGCTTCCTACAGTTAATGCTTTCAAATGTTATCTTATGACTATGCCAACTGATTAAGAGTTAGATAAAAACCACTATGAGTTAAATGAATAAAAGCTGTATGGCATGAAAACCATACATGACTTGTGTTTTTCATGAAACCTTTCCAATACTGTCTTTTGGTGAAAAAAGAAAATTTGAAACAAATGGGACTTGTGGCATGCCTGGATTACCAGCATGTTTTCATTCTTATTATTTATTTGCACATTGAAGAAAGTCGAAATCCTTTCTTCCCCTCAAGAACAGTAAAGGAACACATTTCTCTTCCCACAAATCTTTCTGTTCCATATCTGGCAATTACTCATCTTTCCTCTTCTTCCACTCACCACCCCACCCCAGCTTGCAAAGAGTATGAGAAAAACACCAAAACAAACCAGATCTCGAAGATGACGGTTTTTTGGTGTTACTTTCATTTTCTTCTGGGCCTCAAATTCCATCCTTGAAAACTGTAAGACTACATAACACAGAATTGGTGGGTAAGACTGCCTTTTTGATTTGGAAACATGTCACAAGTATGTCATTCTAAGAAATGAACAGAATCCCAGACTTGAATCAAAACTACCAATTTAGAAAATTCTTACCTGGAAGACTTGACTTATTTGGTAGTATCACTTCAGCATGTTCCTCCTTCTCATCACAGGGATCCTCTTCATCAGACAGTACTAAGAAAGCCTCTTTTGGCAGACTTTCATTATTTTCCTGCTTGGATGGTGAACCCAAACAGTTGTCTATTTTCTCTTCTAAATCTGGGACTGTGTCATCCACTGGAAGCAGAGAACTTTTAGAAAAACAGCTCAGTTCATCTTCAGCCGGGGCTAGTTTTTCCAAAATTGGAATAATTTCATCTGTTTCCATAGATTCAGTACTGTCCAAGATACTTTCACTTGGGTCATCTATTGTCTTCTGAGCAGTGGTTTCTGAAAGACCTGCAGTGCCATCTCGTTTGTCCTTTGGTTCCTGGTCAGCTTCCATACTGCTAGAGATGGCTTCTTCTCCAACAGCATCTTCAGCAGTTACTTCTTCAGTCCTCTTTTCCTCGCCAGATGAATCGGAATGAATAGCTAAGTCATTTGTTTCTCCCTTCTCTTCAGAAGAGTCACTAATATCACAGATTGATTTACTTTCACCTTCTGATGGGATGTCACTCTCTCTTTGGTCCAAATGATCTTTTGTATTATTTTCTTCATGGAAGTTATCTTTATTGCTAGCAAGCACTCCATTTTCAGCCTCACAAGCTAAAGCAGTATCAGTATCTTTATTCTGCTCAGAAGGAACATTCTCTGGAGACAGCGTTAGAGGTTTGGGTTCTATGTCATGGACTATGTTCCCTGCCCTACTTTCAGGGCTTTTGGCTTCACTAATTTCATCAGAAGCTGTTCTTTCTTCTTCAGAGTTAACACACAAGCCCACTAGGCCATTAACTTCCCTCTTGTCCTCCATACAGTCTGTATTGCTTAAAGGGGAATTTAAATCAGAATCTCCATTCTCATGCTTTCCATTTAACAGTTTAACTTCAGTTGTCTTCAACAGCTCCTCTTTAACCTTATAGACAGCTTCAAGTTGTTGTCGATCACTCACTCTCATTGTTTTTCGTGCTTTAAAGACTTTTTTCTGAGGTTCATCTGTGCTATCCATCTTGACCCTTAAAAAAAAAGTTCAGAAAGAATTGTGAAGGTAACAATTTATTATCATCATATTACAGTGTTCCTAAGAAAGACTGTAGCATTTAGCACATTTTAAAGCAAACCGGTTTAATTGTATCTACAAAAACAAAGAAACACCTGACACTTAAATTTTGTCTGTCCTCAGAAAAAGTGAATACAAGTTTCTATGTATACTGCACGAACACGTGTAGGTAGAGATCACACTATAACAAAAATAACAACACTATAACATTATGTAGTAATTTTAGACCAGTCATCTTGTTGTATTATTACAGCAAAGCCACATAATGATGTTTTCTAGCTAGAAACAGATATTGGGCTAATGTAAGAGCCAGCAGCCTCTCTTCTCGTAAAAAAGAAAGAAATATTCTTGGTCCATCAGCTTACATTTATTTTATCTTTCTAAAACTATGTAATTTCACAAGTTTCAAATAGAATTAACAACTGGGGTAAATGACAAGATTTTTATATCAAAAAGAAGAAAAGTAACAAAAAGAAAACTTCAATATATTGAAAGAATTTCTGAATGTGTCATTAAGATATATTTTTTTTATCTAGACAGAAGAAAAAAGTACCTTCATCCTCCAAATTTTTACAATAGTTGACTGAACTTGGGTTTTTAGAGCACTTTCATTCAATTTGCAATAATATTTTACTAAGACCATTTGTGCTCATAAAAACTACAGTTTTTGTAGCTCCTTTTATAAAAATTTGCTTTTTCAAGGAAAAGCAGTGGTTTTGCCCTCCATATAATTTTATTCATTCCATCCACCCAGATTAAGAAAAATAAGAACATTAATATATAAAAAATTTAAGAAAAACAATGTTCAAAAATCTACTTTATCAAATCAATAAATGGAGTTAAATCCAGCATTATGTAGGAAGTTAAAATAATTTTGTTAAAATACATCAGAATCTTATTTCATTTGTTTCCATGAAACAAAACAAACAAAATCCATAGGGATTTTTAAACTATGTTTTTTTTCCTCCATGTGGTCTTGTTCTAGGACGCAGTTTTAAAGGATTAGATATGATAATGTTGTTCAGAAGCAGAAAGCAGTTAAGGAACTTGTTATATCCTAAATTAAACTCAGCAACTAAAATCTTGAATCGGCTGATTGCTAACCAATTTAGCTCTACTGAAGTTACTCCACCATCATAAGTTACTCCTGTCTAGGATATGGCTTTTCTTAAGTTTCTCAAAACATGCGAAAATTCACTTGGGTAACAGTAGTTAAAAAGATATTACAGCAAATAGAAAAAAGAAAGAAAATAAATCAGGCAGTTATCTCTGTATGAAATTTTTTTTTTTCCCAACAAGCACCAGATAAGCGAATGTTTATACCACTGATACAGCAAAATTATTACAAAAAGGATGCATTTTAAATATTTAGTACAGTTCATTTTGCATCTTCCCCCAATCCACTTTCATTTACAGAGCTGAAAAATTCATTAATAAACTACATTTTATCTTTTCAGGTGGGGTATAAAATTTTTTTGATTTTTTGATTAAAAAAAGCAGGACTATCGCCAACATTAGCTCAGATCAGTGATGGTTTTGTACAACCAAGTCGTAAAATCCACAAAACAGAGACTCCACAGCCTCTAAGTAACAGTTTGGCTCCACCCTCTTTGTAACCAACCTTGCCTACAAGTTTTATTTAGGCAGCTGTAAGATTGCCCTTTAGTATTCTCTTCAGCAGATTAAAGTTGTCAAGCTCCCTCAGCGTCTCGTTGTAGGTCACGTGCTTTAGGCTCCTATCATTTTGGTAGTCCTCTGTTGGATCCTTCTTACGTTTACTTGGAACAGTTTGTTTATGAAGGAAATTATTTAACATTTATGCATTGCCCAACTGGAATATTCTGCGGTAAGATAAGAATATATATTCTAAGGTACAATATGAATTCAACTATCAAGACAAACTCTAAACCTTACAATCACGACATACCATACTTTACAATTATAAGGCTTCTTTTACACTTGGTTAACATGACCTGACAAAAATATGGGCAAAATAGAAAGCAATATGATTAAAAAAAAAATTTTTCCCTGTTTTAAATTTCCTATAACACTGACATTCCCTTCCACTTTATTTCAGTTCTTTTCTGCATGACAATCTAGAAACCTTGTATTTGAGTAACTGATCGTGCTTAAATAACACTTCAATTCACACCTCAGGACCAGACAAACAAATCTTCACAAAAGGTTGTATCAGCTCTATTTACAGACTCGCAATAATACCATTAAGACATGAATTTTTGCCAGTCTGAACTACATTTTCTGAACAGGATTGTCTGTTACTGCATTGCCACTAGTGGGAGCAAAATGTAACACCTATAGAAACACTGATCTGAAACATCAGCTTACTTGTTTTTAGAAAATGTTCTCATCACATAACCATTTCCAGTCAGATGAAATATGAACTGCAGGCAAGCTGTTAATGTCCTTCCAGAGCTGTCTACATGCTAAATATAGTATCTTCATATTCCTCCAGAAAGAATACATTTAATGCAGCAATTCTAGTCCTGAAGTTAGGAGAAGCATATAAAACCCTCTAGTATTTCAGAAGTGCATGTGCAGTTTTTGAAAGCACATCCCTTCCTTCTTCCCAAGAACTTAGAATGTAAAGCACATTTTTTCACGTCACTATAAAAGCATGTATCAGACTGTCAGATAATAGAGTACTGATCATCATACCCATGTTCCATGCATATAATCCCCTACAACCAACATGTATGCTCTTACAGATGTATATCTTATAAAGCCAATTTGGAAAAAAATAGAAAATTCCAGGCTTGGCTAACCTTGATCAATTCCAAGAGCTCCTAATAGGTGACCAGCTAGTGAGAGTCTTCTGTTAATGTAGTACAAGGATACAGGGCCTTTGTATCAAAATTAAGACAGACAAGTAGTTTGATGTCCCGGACTACAATGCTTTCTTTTATAAGCATTGACCAGAATTTAAAAGTTCTTATATTACAAAATTCACAACCCTACTTTTCCTATGACCAAAAGATATACTAACAGATTAATAAAATGTTCACAGACAACTTAAAATCAAATTCATAAGTGCATCACTTGAGTAATCATAAACTATAACTTAAAATAAATTAATATTTTCTGCTCTAGTTTCCTTAATCATCTAAGCACTTTCATTCCTATTTTTAACATATAATAAAATACAGTAAATACAGAGTAAAATGAAGGGCACTTCCTTTTTAAATTTGCAGTCTTAAAAAAAAAAATCAAACATCAGAATACCTTTATATTAATGCATCCTTTTTTCTTAAAAAAATACTGAAATGAATAATCTTGAATTTCTTAATACATTTCAAAATTATGTTTACTTTATATCTTAGGATATTTTCCAAAATCTAGTTTAAAAACAAATCTCTAATACAGTTCTACAGTGAACCTGTAAAAAAAAAAAAAAAGGCTTCTCATAAAATTCCATTTAGATGGCTATTTGCGTAACTCGTGCATATTTTCAGCTTAATCCCACGATCTTTTGCAACCAAAGAGTATCCAATAAAAGCTACCATAAATGACAAAATTATAAGCATAGATGAGATTAAAAGATGAACACTAAATGCTGGTTAACAGCTAAATATCATGTGTCACTGCAGACCAGCCTTAAAGCATTTCCAGCCATACCCACAAGGGAGCACACTGCAGCCAAGTAACAGATCTCATGTTAGAGCCGAGTAAAAGAAGAAACAAATAAATCGGTAACCAGTCCAGACAGGTTTGGTCATACCGGCGCAAACCAATCGGCATTCATCTGATAAATACTGCCTTCCAGTCTTTCAAAGAGGTAAGGAGGTTGCCCTTCAGAGAACAACTCCAGAGCAGGTTACATGAATTCAGTCTTGCACAAATAAAACATTTAAAACTAGTAGTGTTCTAAATGAATGCATGTTTGTAGTCTCCCTTTATACTTAACAATTAACACAAAGTTTAGCTACATTTGCTATGCACTTCCCTTATCTGATGCTTGCGTATTTTCAGTTTTTACTCATCATGTGACCAAGTCACAAGAAGGAAACGAGCGGCCCAGGCACCAAGCCAACTGAGGGGCATCTTTTATTTCAAAGAAAGGCATTTGCACAGAACAGCACAAAATGACTCCTGCATGTAGAGCTAATTGTGTAAGGGTTAAATGTTCTAAATAAGGTAGTAGGTTTTGGGTTGGTTTGTTTTGATTTTTTAAACACAATGATCAATTTTGAAACACCAACACACACAAACATTGTGTATATTGTTTAGATATCGTTTATGAAAATTTCCTTTTTCATTTTAAGCTTGAAAGTCTGTCGTGGTTTAACCCCAGCCAGCAACTAAGCACCACACAGCCGCTCGCTCACTTCCCCCGCCCCAGTGGGATGGGGGAGAGAATTGAAGAGTAAAAGTGAGAAAACTCATGGGTTGAGATGAGAATAGTTTAATAATTGAAATAAAATGATGTAATAATAAATTGTAATGAAAAAGGAAAATAAAAAAAGAGAGGGAAATAAAATCCAAGACAGACAAGTGACAACAAATGAAAACCAATTGCTCACCACCAACCGACCGATGCCCAGCCTGTCCCCAAGCAGCGGCACCAGCCCCCCCAGCTTTCCCCCAGTTTATATGCTGAGCATGACGTCACATGGTATGGAATATCCCCTTTGGCCAGTTTGGGTCAGCTGTCTTGGCCGTGCCCCCTCCCAGCTTCTTGGGCACCTCCAGCCTTCTCAGTCAGTAGAGCATGGGGAGCTGAAAAGTCCTTGACTAGTGTAAGCACTACTTAGCAACAACTAAAACATCGGTGTGTTATCAACATTATTCTCATACTAAATCCAAAACACAGCACTATACCAGCTGCTAGGAAGAAAATTAACTCTATCCCAGCCAAAACCAGGACAATATCCACTCCTTATTTTATACCATCTACGTCATGCCAAGGTCCCACACTTTCCTGTCTTTTGATACATACAC